GGGATTTAAAATATTCGCGGTTTAATCGACAAAAAATATATGGTCTATTTTACCCGCTAAATATTATCCGATGACCACCCAAATTGGTAGGTTTCTTCCCCGCCCTAAACTCTAGCTACATGCGAAATTCTGCGTCGATTGGTCTATAATTGTGACCTGTAGAGCAACTGCAAAATCAGCAAATTTTTCAGTTTTTGATCCATTTCAACCCCTGTTATGTAATGCTCTTCAAAAGAAATAGGGTTCTATTCTGACCTTAACCCCACCTCCATTTTAAATTTCGTGAAGATCGGGCCATAATTGCGACCTGTAGAGTGATTACAAATTAACATGGACAGACGGACGGACGGACATACATAGCTAGATCGACTCAGCTCGGCGAGATAGGAAGATCCATATATACTTTCCTATGTGGGAAATCAATATTTCGTGGTGTTACATAATTTTTGGCCCAATCAAACTTATAATACCCCCAACACATAGTGTTGTAGGGTATAAAAACTTAATTATTGTAATACTTTAATGCGTAAACAAACAAATAGCTCTGTCTACCAACGCGTGAACATGCCAGGAACAGCTGACCATGAGAACAGCAGGAACATTTATTATCGGATTTATAAATTTCATGGCAAGGAAATTGCAATCTTTTGTGAATTCGAGGTAGCAGCATACTTTCCCGAAATAACCATATCCTCAATTAAATTGTTGTGTAGTTTTTATACCCTACAAGGTGGTCAGGGTATTATGCCTTTGTACATTTGTTTGTAACAGGCAAAAGGAAAAGAGATAGACCCATAGTTCCTTTTGATGATATAATCACATTCGATTAATGAAAGTCCGTCCGTCCGTCTGCCCATGTATTTTTGTAAATAAAGTACAGGTCGCATTTTTTTCCCGATCCAGTTGAAATTTTGCTCAAATCAAGGACGAACCCTATTGAAATTGAAGATAATCGATAATCAAAATAGCCTGTAATATAGCCATAACTCCTTAAATATTGAGTTTTCGGCGTTTTTAGCTATTATTTGTGATCAATTTTCTAGGCGTGAATTATTGAATATTTTAAAATAGCCATAACTCCTTAAATATTGCGTTTTCGGCGTTTTTGGCTATTATTTGTGATCACTTTTTAATGCATGAATTATTGAATATTTTAAAATGGCCATAACTCCTTAAATATTGAGTTTTCGGCGTTTTTGGCTATTATTTGTGATCACTTTTTAATGCATGAATTATTGAATATTTTAAAATGGCCATAACTTCTTAAATATTGAGTTTTCGGCGTTTTTGTGATCACTTTTCTAGGCATGAATTATTGAATATTTTAAAATGGCCATAACTCCTTAAATATTGAGTTTTCGGCGTTTTTAGCTATTATTTGTGATCACTTTTCTAGGCATAAAGTATTGTATATATTGTATTATTTGTATATATATTGTTAAAAAGGTATATATTGTTCAAATATTTATTCACATTTAAATGCTGGAGTGCTCCAACGATAGCCACTTGTGGTTTTCCTTTTTTTCTTTTTTTCTGGAAAATTCTCACCAAAATGCTCTTGTACGCTTGTAAACAATATAATGAGCTGTCACTGAAATAATTTTAACAGCTGTCGGACGAGTGGCTTAGAAATGACAGCAGTCTGAAGTTGGTTGCAGTTTATTCATCTCACCCTTTGTATTCGTTTCAGATTTAAATGTAGCTCCCATATTTATTTTCAGCCGATTTTACATATTTGATGTATTCAACGTTTCGTTTCAATGAAGTTCGTAGAGAGAGACGAAATTTGGTACCAAAAAAAAAAAAATTGCTAAATTATATTGAAATCGATTGAGGTTTGGGTATAGCTCCTATATATATTTCGGCCAATTTCATGTATATTATGCACCAAACACGATATATATGTCCGATTCCAATGAAATTCAGTTACACTAATAAATTTGACAAATTTAATTAGAAATCAGCTAAGATTTGAATGTAGCCCCCATATATTGGCCGATATCACATATTTGATGTACCAAACACTAATTTTAAAACCAGTAAAGAAAGTCTTAAAGTCGGGCGGCGCCGACTTTATGATACCCTACACCACTTTGCTAATTAAGTAGAGCTCCACATAACAATTAAAAGTTTCTATGGGAGAATTCAATCATACACGCTATGATTATAATTATAATTTAAAGTTCAAAGGACTAAATTCGGAATTGTATTGCCCATTTGGTGCACAATTAACTTGAAATCGGATAAAGATATATATGGGAGTTATATCCAAATCTGAACCGATCTCGATAAACTTTGGCAACGATATTTCTGAGCTGTATTTGATATATTTCCCTGAATATCGTTGTTACAGAGTGCATATTACGGTTGTGGGTACCAAATATAACAAATCGGATGAATAATATATATGGAAGCTATAACTATATCTGAACCGATCTGAACCAAATTTGACATACTAGCTACTAGACTCAATTCGGTCGTAAGTGCCAAATTCCATCCCATTTGGACAAATATTAGACGTTTGGTGCACAATAAAAGGTAAATCGGACGATGTTATATATGGGAGCTATATCCAAATCTGAACCGATCTCGATAAAATTTAGCAAATGTATTTCTGAGCTGTATTTGATATATTTCCCCGAATATTGTTGTTGCATAGTGCATATTACGGTGGCGGTGGACAAAAATAACAAATCGGATGAACAATATATATGGGAGCTATAGCTATATCTGAACCGATTTCGATCAAATTTGGCATACATATTTTCAGGCCTAATATGGGTGTATGTGCAAAATTCCATACAATTCGGGCTGATATTACACGTTTGGTGCACAATAAAAGTCAAATCGGACGAAGATATATATGGAGCTATATCCAAATTTTGACCGATTATCTCCAATTTCAATAGGGTTCGTCCTTAGGCCAAACAAAAGACCTTTGCAAAATTTCATCTGGATCGGGCAATAAATGCGACCTGTACTTTGTTTACAAAAATACATGGACAGACGGACGGACGGACGGACGGACGGACAGACGGACGGACGGACGGACAGACGGACGGACGGACATGCATAAATCGACTCAGAATGTGATTCTATGCAGATCATCAAAAGGAACTATGGGTCTATCTCGTTTCCTTCTGCCTGTTACAAACAAATGCACAAAGACATAATACCCTGACCACCTTGTGGTGTAGGGTATAAAAACTAATTTCAATGAAATACGGAAGGTGTGACGGAATTTGGTATAAAAGTAAATTTTGTCAAATTATATAAAAAACGGTTCTGATTGGGATATGATTTTATCAAGAAACATTGATCCACAACGCCTATGCAATGGTATTAGGCTAACATAAAAAAACTGCACAACAATTTAATTGAGGATACGATTATTACGGGAAAGTATGTTGCTACCTTGAATTCTCTAATAGCAACAGAAATGCCACTCAACTTCCAAATATTCCAGTTTCCTGCACGCTTGCTATGAAATTAATAAATCCGAAGAAGGAAGGGTTTCGTGTATGCGGACTAAATTTGGCATGTTCCTGCTTTTCTCATGGTCAGTTGTTCCTGGCATGTTCACGAGTTGGTAGACCGAGCTATTTCTTTGATTCATATAAAGTAAATGAACTAACCAATTTAGTCTAAATCTAGCATGTCGCAATATTTAAATTTAGATATAGCTCCCATATATATCTTCGTCCGATTTGCCTTTTATTGTGCATCAAACGTGTAATATTTGCCCAAATGGGATGGAATTTGGCACATACAACCCTATTAGGCCTGCAAATAAGTATGCCAAATTTTATCGAAAACGGTTCAGATATAGCTATAGCTCACATATATATTGTTCATCCGATTTGTTATTTTTGTCCTCCGTAATATGCACTCTGTAACAACAATATTTAGGAAAATATATCAAATGCAGCTCAGAAATACCTTTGCTAAATTTTATCGAGATCGGTTCAGATTTGGATATAGCTCCCATATATAACTTCGTCCGATTTACTTTTTATTGTGCACCAAACGTCTAATATTTGTCCAATTTGGGTGGAATTTGGCACATACGACCGAATTGAGTCTAGAAGGTAGTATGCCAAAATTGGTGAAGATCGGTTCAGATATAGCTATAGCTCCCATATATATTGTTCATCCGATTTGTTATATTTGTTACCTACAGCCGTAATATGAACTCCGTAATAACGATATTCAGGGAAATATATTAAATACAGCTCAGAAATATCTTTGCCAAATTTTATCGAAATCGGTTCAGATTTGGATATAGCTCTTATATATATCTTGATCTGATTTCAAATTAATTTCGCACCAAATGGGCAATATAAGTCCGAATTTAAAAGATACAAATGCTTCGGCATATTTAGTCCTTTGAATTTTAAATTATAATTATAATTATAATTATGGGGTTTATGATTGAATTCTCCCATAGAAATTTTTAATTGTAATATGGAGCAAAGTGGTGTAGGGTATCATAAATTCGGCCCCGCCCGACTTTAGGACTTTCTTTACTGGTTTTAAATTGATTTTTTGAAAATTTTGTCACTTTTCGTGAGTAGTACAAATATTAGTTGCTCGATAAATCCCATCCTTGTGCTAGATAAAATATTTATAGAAATATTGAGATACTCAGGCATTTTTGTTTTTCATATGTTATTATGATTCAATTCACTATACAAAACCATCATTGCTTTCGAACATCCGCTCCACCGTTCCCCAACCATGGGTATACCAATATCATAGGTAGTATTTACGAGAATAAACTTTTGTTGGGTTTGAAACTTTATTCAATTTTAATACAGTATATTTTGATTGTATAATTTTGTTATGCTCAAGCCGACGGCAATTGACGGCTTGCTTCTCATCATTCAAAATCCGTTTAAACTTATTTTATTGAACAATATTTGAACCAAACACACACACACACAGATAAAAAATCTGGTAATTATAAACACTCATACACAAACAATTACAAAAACACTAACCGGAAACAGGAACTGTTGTAACGGATGACTGCTACTTCCGATGGTGTTGTGTCCACCGTTGAGCCAACTTGGGCATACAAAAATGTTGTCAAACGTTGCTTGTAATTAGTTTTGTATTGTGGTGGTTCTTTTTGTTTTCTTTTTAATAATCGTTGGTGTCGTTATTATGATTAACTGGACTTTTAATTGCTATTTACATTAAAACAAACACTGACACCATTGTATTTCTTGTGGTAGTAGTGGTGGTGCTGGATGGACCAGCACTTGAGAAATCCACAAGTGTTTGTACTTGTTGGTACTGCAGTAAATTGCCAGGGTGTGCGTGTTAGGTTAATTTTTTTTTATTTACTTTTACTTTCTCTCACATTCACATTTACTGCTTGGCTATACTTGCATTTTTTTAACCCACACAGATTTAACAGAGACAGGCATAAAGGATAAGCACATTTATCTTCACATCACCATCAATATTTTAATTTTTATTTTATTATTTTTTTTTTTTTTTCATTGGTATAAATATTTCTTCATGTATGTTTTTGTATGTATGAGTGGTTGCCTGTATGTATTATTTGTTTTCTTACTTTTCCTTTAAATATATATCCTGTTGTTGACAAAACAAATTTTCACTCAGACACTAACGAAAAAATCCACACTCAACAAATGCCTGATACTAATGTTGGCATTTTGTTTGGTCACACAAAACAACACTCTCACAATCTTTATACCCTACAACACTATGTGTTGGGGGTATTATAAGTTTGATTGGGCCAAAAATTATGTAACACCACGAAATATTGGTTTCCCACATAGGAAAGTATATATGGATCTTCCTAGCTCGCCGAGCTGAGTCGATCTAGCTATGTATGTCCGTCCGTCCGTCTGTCCGTCTGTCCGTCTGTCCGTCTGTCCATGTTAATTTGTAATCACTCTACAGGTCGCAATTATGGCCCGATCTTCACGAAATTTAGTATGGAGGTGGGGCTAGGGTCAGAATAGAACCCTATTTCTTTTGGAGATGATCGCCAAATGTTTAGGGGTTGAAATGGACCAAATACTGAAAAAATGTCGGATTTTGCAGTAGCTATACAGGTCGCATTTATAGACCAATCGACGCGGAATTTCGCATGTAGCTAGAGTTTAGGGCGGGGAAGAAGCCTACCAATTTGGGTGGTCATCGGATTATATTTAGCGGGTAAAATAGACCATATCTTTTTATTGAAAAAATTCGAAATTTTTCATTAAACCGCGAATATTTTAAATCCCGGCGAAATCACAAAGCCATCACTTCTGACCTTCTGACCTTTACTTTGATGTTAACATCCAACAAACCGGATATATAACAAAATAGGTGCGATATATATGTCGATCAAAGAAGATATGCTTGAAAGATCTCTTATAAGTCGAGAACGGCTGTACTGATTTCGACAGTTCTCATTAATTCAGAATGGCCTCTTAGCAGGAAAGAAAAAACGTCTTAAAAAATCGCATAAAAATATCTGTATAAAGATGAAAATATTGATTTTGTAAAATTTTCTCATAATTTTTCAATTTTGTCATATTTTTGGCATATTTTCATTTTGAATTAAACATTTGGTAATATTTCTACAGCTAACAAAACTAAGTAGTTAGGATATCAGGATATCATATACAGATCGCATTTATGGCCCGATCCTTACGAAATTTTGCATGGAGATAAGATGAGGGTCAGAATAGAAGCCTACTCTTTTTGGAGATGATCGCCATATATTTAGGGGTTGAAATGGACCAAAAAACTGCAAAATTGTCGGCAGGTCGTAATTATCGCCCGATCCTCACGCACATTTGAATGGGGGTTACCGCACATTGCAAAAGCCAAGCAATTTCGGATGGCCATCCAAAAATATTCAATGTGTAAAGGAGTTTGCCAACTTTTGTAGACAAAATACGAAAATCTCAATTCCAGTGACTCCATGGAGAATTCACAAATACAGGAAAGACGCACTTCTGACTATTTCGTTAACGCCGATTTCGTTGAAGAATATAGTCAAATGTCTGCATCTCAAAAAAATCAAATAATAAATGTTAATCTTTTGCCACTTCTGAGAGATTATGGGTCTTTGGGAAATATTGGTTCCAGATCTAGGAAGACCATTTACGTGCAACATCTACCAATAAATTTGAAATGAGCAAGTTAGTTTAAGTTGCTATTATTCGAAAATTAGAGAACGAAACCTGATGGTTTTCTTTTATTATTTGTCACAATATCTTGTGCAATTCTTTCGAGTATCTCGCCTATATGAACTGTATCGTTTATTATAGTGTTGTAGGGTATTCAACGGTCGGCCCCGCTCGACTGTAGCCTTTGCTTACTTGTTTTTTATTTCTTTTTATTTTGTTCTTTGTGTACATTTGATTTTCCAAAGTCCCGTTTTATGGTTTGTTTTTCCGAATTTTCCAAATATTTTCTTTGAAATGAAACCCGCAACTGAGGAAAATCTTTCCTTTAAGCGGCTTTTATATAAATGCCCAACGATTCGTGGGAGAGGAAAATGCTTTAAAGCTTTTGAGGAGGCAAAAGCTTTGCGGCATTTATTCCTTGTTCTCACATCTGCTCAACTGAACGAATGTTTACATTTTCGTGTGAGAGTTTTTCGTTATGTTGCGTGCAAACAGGTGTCGGTGCCGAAATTATTGGCGGCAAAATGTAAAAGTTTGTTTTTAGAAGTTTTTTTTTTTGGGTGTTCTGTGATTGTTTGAAAAGGTAAACAAGCAAAAAATCGTAATTGAATAATCGTTATCTACATACATTACATATATGTGTTTTAAGATTGCTCATTATATTAAGATACAGAGAATAGTATAAACATTGTAGAGAAGTTCTAACCTTGCCCAAAAGATTTCCTAAGAAGAATGGTATAGGTCCATAAGTTAATAATTCGTAATAATGGGTACAAAAAAACTAAAAACTCGTTTTATTTGGCCATGTGGGTCACAATTGATACGAGACATCAGATAAGCTGGAATTTTTAAAAATTTGTACTGACTAGTTCAAAAGTATCATTCGGGTTTGCCGACAGATGTATACTCTCAGCCAATGTTCGATTATTTAAATATATTTTGACTTCTGTTATGATTATTTAAATGTTTGAACCTCTATGGCGTAGGTTCCGAAGGAATGGCCAATATTGTATATCTGTTAGCGGACCTAAATACACGACACAAATATTGCGAATATTACCAGGTTTCGACTATACCGACTACGTTCTTCAATTTATATGAGATATATGATAATTTTGAGAAAAGGTTGAAATGTGCGTGATGTACCGGAAATAGTCGACCGAAGTATTCCATTTTCATAATTCACCTAATACAGATAAAACAAGTAAGCAAAGACTATAGTCGTGCGGGGCCGATTATGTTATACCCTACAACACTACAATATGTTAGAAGCCCCCTTATGTCCAAATCCATATTGGAAGATTTCGCTTTCGAAACTAGGATTTTGACCAGGGACATTTGCCCAATATTTCTGCACTCCGTCGGGCTGTTAGTCCATTTTACAGCTAAATATAATTCAGTAGTCATCCAAAATGCTAGTATTCTTCCCTGTCCTTAACTCTCTTCACAGGCGTGTCGATTGGCTTCAATTGTGTGATCGGAAAAACATTTCTGTTTTTGGTTAATTTGAGCCCCCAAATATTTTGCGATCATCTCCAAAAGCAAGAGGCCCCCTCTCCAGATTTAGACTCATCTATATGATTTGCTTGTCTACGATATTTGGCAATATTCGTCAACGAAATCAGCATAAAAAAGCCAGAAGTTCGCCTTTTGTGTATTTCGGATATCGCCTGTAAGTAATTCTGGTATTTTCTCACACAAAATTAGTGGTCCATTGTACCCGCTGTCCTAAACTCTAACTTTATGCGAGTCCTTTGGTTTCTATTTGTGACCTTTATAACGGCTGCAAAATCAGGAACATTTTTAGTTGTTGGTCCATTTCAACCCCCAAATATATTGCGGACATCTTTAAAACCAATAGGCCTAACCCTTTTGAGCCTAACCCTGCACTTATGAAAATTTTCGTGAGGATTGGACGATAATTACAATCTGTATATAATAACCCCAACCTGTGTTGTAAGTTCAAAAAGTATTACAAAATATACACTTCAATATTATAAGTCAAATTGAAAAAATCGCATGCGATAAAAAATATGAAAAAATATAAAAATGTCACAAAATACTACAAAACCTATATTAACATCATTATTGACATATTTTTATGCGATTTCGTCGGGATTAAAAATTTTCGCGGTTTAATGGAAAATATGACTTTTATTTAACACAAATGTTATGGTCTATTTCACCCACTAAATATTACCCGATGACCACCAAATTTGGAAGGCTTCTGCCCAGCCCGAAGCTTTAGCCCCATGCTAATTTCCGCGTCGATTGGTCCATAATTGCGACCTGTAGAGCAACTGCAAAATCAGGAAATTTTTCAGTTTTTGGTCCATTTCAACCCCTAAAAATTATGCGATCATCTACAAAAGCAATAGGGTTCTATTCTGATCATAACTGATAACTGTAGAGTGATTACAAATTAACATGGACAGACGGACGGACGGACATATATAGCTAGATCGACTCAGCTCGGTGAGATAGGAAGATCCATATATACTTTCCTATGTGGGAAATCCATATTTCGAGGTGTTACATAATTTTTGGCCCAATCAAACTTATAATACCCCCAACACATAGTGTTGTAGGGTATAAAAATGACATAAATATTGCGAATATTACCAGATTTGGACTATACCGACTACGTCCTTCAATTTATATGAGATATATGATAATTCTTAGAAAATGTTGAAATTTGCGTGAGGTACCAGAAATGATCGACCGAAGTATTCCATTTTCATACCTCACCTAATACAGATAAAACAAGTAAGCAAAGGGTATAGTCGTGCGGGGCCGACCATGTGATACCCTACAACACTACAATATGTTCGAAGTCCCTTTATATGCAAATCCATTTTGGAAGATTTCGTTTTTGAAATAATGATAAAGAGCCCTGCCCAGAGGTTACCCTTAGGTTTTTGACCCGGAGAATTTGGCCAATATTTACGCACTCCGTAGTATTGTGAAGTAATCAAAACAATTGCACACGAAAGTTGTGGTCCATTTTACAGCTAAATATAGTCCAATGTTCATCCAAAATGCTAGACTTCTTCTCTGTCCTCAACTCTCTTCCGATGCGAAATTCCGTGTCGATTAGTTTTCAATTGTGGCCTATAGAACCACTACAAAATTAGAAAAATGTAAATTTTTTAGCCATTTAAACCTTTAAATGCACATCCTAAGAAAAATAGGCTTAAATTCGACCCACCCCCCACGCAAAATTTCGTGAGGATCGGACGATAATTGCGACATACATATAATACCATCAAAACGTAGTGATGGAGGGTGTAAAAATTTAGAAAATTTAAAATTCAAAATTGTAAGTCAAATTGAAACAAGTAAGCAAAGGCTATTGTCGTGCGGGGCCGACCATGTGTACCCTACAACACTACAACATGTTACAAGCCCCGTTATGTCCAAATCCATTTTGGAAGATTTCGCTTTTGAAATGATGCGACGGAGCACTGTCCAGATATTACCTTTAGCATTTTGACCAGGGACATTTGCCCAATATTTACGCACTCCGTCGTATTTTGCGATCATCTCCAAAAGCAAGAGGCCCCTCTGTATCTCCAAATTTAGACTCTTCTATACTATCTTCTTGTCTACGATATTTGGCTATATTCGTCAACGAAATCAGCAAAAAGGCAGAAGTTCGCATTTTGTGTATTTCGGCTATCCTCTGTAAGTAATGTTGGTATTTTTCAGACAAAAGTAGTGGTCCATTCTACCCGCTGTCCTAAACTCTAACTTCATGTGAGATTTCGTGTCCTTTGGTTTCTATTTATGACCTTTATAACGGCTGCAAAATCAGGAACATTTTTAGTTGTTGGTCCATTTCAACCCCTAAATATATTGCGGACATCTTTGAAAACAATAGGCCTAGCCCTTCTGAGCCTAACCCTACCCTTTTCGTTAGGATCGGACGATAATTGCAATCTGTATATAATATCCCAAACCTATGTTGTAAGGTGGAAAAATATTACAAAATGTACACCTTAATATTATAAGTCAAATTGAAAAAATCACATGCGATAAAAAATATGAAAAAATAAAAAAATGTCACAAAATACTACAAAATCTATATTAGCATCATTTTTGACTTATTTTTAGGCGATTTTTTTAGATTTTATACTTCTATGTCAAGAGGGCATTCTGAATTGACAAAATTTGTCAAAATAGGTCCAGCCATTCTTGAGATATAAGCATTCCACCTAACATTCCATTCCGTTGTATATACACATTGTATATATTTCGCTATATATATTCGATATATTTACTATCGGCATCTACGTAACGGTCAGAATTGACCTGTTAGTCTATTTATGATTTCGCCGGGACTAAAAATATTCGCGGTATAATGGAAATTTGACTTTTATTTAACACAAATGTTATAGTCTTTTTCACCCACTAAATATTAACCGATGACCATCAAAATTGGAAGGCTTCTGCCCAGCCCGAAGCTTTAGCCCCATGCTAATTTCCGCGTCGATTGGTCTATAATTGCGACCTGTAGAGCAACTGCAAAATCAAGAAATTTTTCAGTTTTTGGTCCATTTCGACCCCTAAACATTTGGCGATCATCTCCAAAAGAAATAAGGTTCTATTCTGACCTTATCCCCACCTCCATTCTAAATTTCGTGAAGATCGGACCATAATTGCGACCTGTAGAGTGATTACAAATTAACATGGACAGACGGACAGACGGACAGACGGACGGACGGACATACATAGCTAGATCGACTCAGCTCTGCGAGATAGGATGATCCATATATACTTTCCTATGTGGGAAACCAATATTTCGAGGTGTTACATAATTTTTGGCCCAATCAAACTTATAATACCCCCAACACAAAGTGTTGTAGGGTATAAAAATCACATGCGATAAAAAAATATGACAAAAATGGAAAAAAATGAAACAAAAGATATAACTTTTTTATAGGTATATTGTCCCGCGATTGAATTGTGAAAATCGGCTCAGCGGTTCTTGATTTATAAGCAGAATAAATAAGATCAATTCTTTTACATATATATTGTACCTATTTTGCTATATATCCGATTTCTTGGCTTTTAGCATCACTGTAATGGTCAGAAGTTATCTTTTAATGTATTTGTTATTTGGCTAAGATTAAAAATATTCGAGGTTTAGTGGAAATTTTCCTATTTTCTAACATAAAAGTTAGGGTCTATTTTACCCGCTAATTATTATTGGTAAGTTTCTGTCCAGTCCCAAACTCTAACTCCATGTAAATTTTCCCGTCGATTGGTTCATAATTGTGACCTATAGCGCAACTGCAAAATCAGGAAAATTTTCTGTTTTTGGTCCATTTCAACCCCTAAATATCGTGCGATCATCTCCAAAAACAATAGGGTTCTATTCTGACCCTAACCCCACCTCCATTTCCAATCGGAAAAATCGGATCGGTTCATAATTGCGACCTGTAGCTTGATTACAAATTAACATGGACAAACGGACAGACGGACAGACGGACAGACGGACGGACGGACATACATAGCTAGATCGACTCAGACCCATATATACTTTCCTATGTGGGAAACCAATATTTCGAGGTGTTACATAATTTTTGGCCCAATCAAACTTATAATACCCCAACACATAGTATTGTAGGGTATAAATATTGGTATGGGAAAAATTGCATTTCGAACATCGAACATTTACATAAAATTTTTTGCGAAATCATAAATTCCGATAAATTCCATATTCATATCAGGTTTCTGGTTGAGAGAAATATTTAGATATAGCAAGTTGTAAAGAATCGCTGACTTGTTTCACAAGTAATGGCAGAAGGAAGTATTAAAAATTGTGATATATCATCCTCACATAAGATCTTGTGTTAGCAAAAAGGTTTGTATGTATGAAGTTTGAAGAGATTGGATGCTTATTTAGATATCTTTGAGCGTTTTGTTTTTCCTGAACCCTATGTGGAGGAGGTAACCGAAGAAATGGTCCGATCTCTACCATCTCTACCATATCAGATCTTGTGTTGATATAAATATTGAGATCTGCGAAGGCTGAAGGGAATCGGATGTTAATTTCGCGTTTTATGAACTTCGTGGATATTCAAAATTTTTACCATTTGTGGGGAAGGTACCAGAAGGAGTGGACCGATACATTCCATCTTCACAGCAGATCTTTTGCTACTAGAAATGATGCGATGGGAAAAATATGAAGAGAACCGGATGCTTATTTCAAAACTTTGACCCTTGGTTAGGGTGGTACCAGAAGAAATGGTCGGATCTCTACCATCTTTATAACATATCTTGAGTTGATAGAAATATTTAGACGTACCAAGTCTGAATGGAGTCTGATGTTAATTTAGCGTTTCATGAGCGTTTTATGGTATGTCCAAGGTCTGCGGTCAAAATGTTTGCTTGCCCAAGGCTTTAATACACCCTCCAGAATATTTTCGTGATAATATTCGGCATTTATTCTGATGCCACGGTCGATTAATACGAGCGGAGAGCGGGCTTTATCCCGAGCTTATTTTTCAATATTTGCCGAATGGAATATTGCGATATGTTCAGCTAACGAGCCATTTTTCGGCCACTGCGACGCGGGTTTCGTTCAAGTCGATGCTTTACTTTTCGAACCATTTTTGCTGATGTTGCTGTTTTCTTCCGTCCACTTCCTTGACGTCGGGCTACGCTACCAGTATCACGGAAACGAGCGATGGTATGAGACACAAAATATTTATTCTCCTTTAAATGCTGGAGAGCTCTAACGATATCCACTTGTGGTTTTCCAGCCAAATATAAAGAAATCATACTATCATGCTTGATTTCCAGCTTTTGTACGCTTGTAAACAATATAATATAAGCTGTCACTGAGATAATTTAAACAGCTGTCAGACGAGTGGCTTAGAAATTACAGAGTTAGAAGTTGGTTGCCGTTTTTTTTAATCTCACTCTGTATCTTTATCCGATTTTACGTTTATTTTGTATCAGATGGCTAATATCAGCCCAAACAGGGTGAATTTTGGTATATATGTCCTAATTCAGCCAAGAAGAAAGAATATCAAATTTGATAAAAAAAAAAAACGGTTCAGATATAGCTACAGCTCTCACATATACGTTTCATCAGATTTTATAACTAAGTCACTCAAATCCGTATTATACACTCCATAACAAGGATTTCCGGCACAAGATATTGGGTACATCTTAAAAATACCTTTTCCACGTTTTGTAGACATCGTTTCAGTTTTGGATACATCTCTCATACAATTTTTTCCCTCTAATTTGATGTAAATAATTGGGTAGCATAAAGTCTGCACTTCACGAATTTTGTCTTTCTTTATTTTGTGTGTGTGTGTGTTTTTTTTTTCGTTTTTTGGAAATTTGAAAATTATTGTAGTATTGCATGAGATTGCTTTCCTATAGTGGAAACATCAGCTTTCAAGTACAATGAAGTTTATATTCGAATTATTCTCTTAATTGAATTTCTAGGAAAACATCTCTCCATATTTTAAGAGTTTTAAGAACTCCTTTTAATAAATATTGAAATTACCCACATGAATATTTAGAATTACCCACATATATATCCACTTCAATACCTTCGAAAACATGTGCAAAAATCTCTTCGTCTGAGTTTGTGTGTGTATGTAAGCCAGTGTGCTACACTTAAATTAACACCCATCCATCCATCCATAATTACATCACATTTAATTGAATTAACATTTTATTTGTAAGCGAACTTACCGATGGCGTAAAGCAGAAACATATTACCAACAAAAATTAACACTTCAACTATAATGAGAATGAAATTTTCAAAAACAAAACGTTTTATATCTTAAGTTAATTAAATTCATGGAACAGCAGCACCTCGCCTCGCCTGGGTGAGAGCTACTAAACTTAAACATAGAAAACAAGTGGGAGTGTTCATCCAGACTAGGAACGGCGCTTAATGACACGATAGTGATAGCCATCCTCAGCCAAGACGGCAGATTCACCATTTTCGGGACCTTCAGCCTCGACAACACCCTCTTCAAGGGGAGCCAAGGTTTCTGGGTTTGAGGCAGGTTCTTGCTCAATGGTCATCAGTTCCATGGGAACTTCACTGGGCTGCTTATAATGATAACCGTCCTCGGCAAAAACGGCGGTTTCTTCGTTGTCAATGGGTGCTTCGGGTGCAGCTTCTTTAACTTCGGCTGGGGCATCTTCAAGGGGAGCATCAGTGACAGCTTCCTCGTTGGATATTTCTTCATTGGGTTTTTCTTCATTGACCTCTTCCGAAGCGGGTTCTTTTTCTTTCTCTTCCTCTTTGGCTGGTGGCAAATATTCTTTGTTTGGTGTTTCGCTGATTGTCATTTCTTCTGCTTCGGGCTTGGTTTCTTGTGCTGGTGGCAAATATTCCTTTGAAGGCTCTGGAGCTTCAGTGGCCATTTCAACTTCTTCGGCTTGTTTTGTTTCGGCAGGTTGGGAATTTTCTTCAGATGGCATGGCTTCTTCTTGGTGTTCCTCCTCGCTTGCGGCTGGTGGCAAATATTCGTTGGACGGCTTTGCCATTTCCAAAGGAGGCAAATAATTCAAACTCAAATGGGAAACATCACGACGACTTCTTACAACAACTCGTTTCACGGTCTTATATTCGTAGCCGTCATTACCCAAAACGGCAGTATCTTGAACTTCAGCCTCCTCGACGGGCAATTCAGTTGCAACTTCAGCCTCGTTTGTTTCCTCTGCCGTCGGTGGCAAATATTCATTTTTGGGTTCGGCTAACAGCTCCGAAACATCTCTCCTTAAACGGGCCGAGGACGGAATGTAAGTCAAGCCATTTACCACCAAAAGGACACAACTTAACGTGACAAGAAAGAGTTTCTAGAAAAGGGAAATAATGATTTTTAAAAATTCACCGAACATTTCAAATAATTTAATTCTTCATTTACCATTTTGATTAGATCTTCTATACTGCGTTACAGTTGCTGGATGAATAATAATTTTCTGTAATCACAATTTTGTATTTATACAAAAAATTCACACCTTGAAGTCGTTACAAAACTCACGACACGAAGAAAAATTCAAGCAATATTCTCCCCACCCGTCAACCGTCAATCGCCAAGAGCCAGACCAGCTGGTCGACAGATGCTGCAAAACACTTATGGGTAATTATCAAAATCCCATTAGGGCGACCACGGCATGTCCAACAAGCGCCAGTTTGAACTAACATCGTTCATCGAACATGTTCGGTGAGCATGACATGGCAAAAGCACCATCAAGGGGGCTTAAGCACAACCGTCGCGGCCGTCGACGACGCGCCATTGATCATTCAGTTAATACTGTAACACTTCATTAGCAGACAAATGGGGGCAAAAAACGATCACATTGAGTATCACTTCAGTTCGATGTTAACCATGGTCAGTACCAACAAGCTCTTCAACTCGTGTCAGTATCTCCTGAATGACTGGTGCGTTGCGGGGAAAATCATGAAGCTCCAAATTAAGTCACTTATTCTTATTATTCTACCTCGTTGCGTCATTGACTTCGCAGCCGTCACATGCGCAACAAAAATAGCAGCATACAATCTCTTCTGGACTTAAACTACTTACCAGACTGACTGTGATCCAAATATTTGTGTTTGAAGTCAATAAACAAAAGTTCTAGAAGTTCGGACAATTGTTTGCTCACTCTGTATAGAAAGTAAATTTAAGTTGTTGATTTTATTCAAAATTTACTTCCTACATGTCCATTAAAGTTATCCAAAACAAAAAGAACGTGTATTTATTACTGGAAATGCTATGGGGAATACGTTCATGACTCATTTATTATGTTTTTATACCTTCAGCCTAAAGAGAGTTAATATCATTTGCTACGGCCAAAACGTGCCTCATCGTGCAATGGCGGGTTTAGACACTATGTTCATTTTTGTACCAAATCCGTTTTAGGACATTTGGAGTCGATCTAGGAGTGTCGGTCCGCCCATCTGGCTGTTTGTGTCTGGCTGGTGTGCACAATAATTCTTAATAATTTTAATGGGAGTATCCGATTTGATCCAATCTTGGTACAACGTTATATTAATGTCAAACTTAGATCGAGTTCGGAGATGGACAATATCGGTCAACTCCTTCTGGTACCTCACTCACAACACGTTAAAATTTTCACAGAAAATATTTTACCATTTAGAACAAGATGGGATTATCCAATTTGGTGCAAATTTTTCAGATTCCAGTATTTGTATCAGTGTTATGTCATGTGCGAAAATAAAACACTATCGGCCCACGCCATCATGTACCTCCCCCACAAAAGTTAAAATTTCGAATAATTATAACTCTTGTAAATTGTGAGATAAGAGTCTGGATCTCTTCAAACTACACACATCACAATTATTTTAACCTGGTCTGGTCTGGTGTAAAGATGAAATGTATCGGTCCACTTCTTCTGGTACCTCCCCCCACAAAGTGTCAACATTTTGAATATTCGATTCCACTCAGACTTGGCATATCTCAATATTTCCATCAACAAAATATATGTTAAAAATATGATAGAGATCCATTCCTTCTGGTACCTCCCCCACAAAGGGTCAAAGTTTTGTATAACAAAAACGATAATAAAATCGGAAATAAGCATCCAGTTCTCTTCAAACTACATACATCACAATATTTTTATTAAACCAAGGTCTGGTGTGATAATGGAACATATCGGTCTAACCCAACTTCGGAAATACAGAACCTCCCCCACAAAGGGTCATCGGCACTAAAAAATACCAAAATGTCGATAACCTCAAGCAAGCCCTTCGCCGGAAATGGGCCAAAATACCGCAGAGCAATATTCGGGAAGCGTGTGACGGTTTCATTGGCCGTTTGAAGGCCATAATTCGTGCCAAAGGTAACCAATTTGAACTATTTGAGCTATTTCCGACATATTTTGCTTTCATTCAATAAAATTAAAAAAAAAAAAAAAATGTAAAAATTATGGCGTTTGACTTTGTTGCAGTTTTTTATCTCACCCTGTATACCCTCTGTATGGCTGAAGGTATCAAAATATCATTTCCCTATCTTTCTAAGATATAGAAACGGAGTTCCCATTATAATAATATGAGTCATAATACGTTAATTACGAGAACATGTTTAAAATGTTTAATCGACAACCTTGAACTCTACCAACCAACTAAGTACAGATTCCATCCCCGAAAATTGTCAATGACTGGTAAGAGTTGTATCGTCTCATAACCATCGCATTACCAATGAAACCATAACATTCGATATAATCTCTTCACCACAAGTTGTAAATAATTTTCGATTGTTGCCAACTCAGAACGATTCGAGTATGAGAGTCGCTCATTCAGCTTGGGGTCATTCATTGTTGCGGCCATATATCCGGCAGAACACCACTTGAGTCGAGTTGTGTTTGCCATGACATTCATATTTCATAGTTTAATTTTCACACTTTTCTAAATGCCCTTCGGGGAGTCTTTGCACCAAACACACAAAGGTACACACAACGGGTAAACCCGTTCTAATTAGATTCGGTAAGAAAAGCTTCTATAATCAGCGTGGTGATGTTTGTAATGAATCTTTAAACAAAACCACCCACACACACACAAACCAATTCGACCTTTGTGCTTTGTGTATTTTTCGGACAAAACTAATGAAGTTAATGAAATTGAACACCTATTAATCGAAAGGCATTGTACGCAACAACAACAACAACAAAGTGATCGAACAACCAGCTGATACTTGAACAACCAACTCAAGTGGATGCAAGTTTCAAGTCATTATCTTTTATCAGAAGTAGTCATTGCCTTGACAATGAATTATTTTTAAATAACTCGTTTGCAACCAAAAACTATGTACTTCAATCGGATGTTGGTTTGTAAATGAGGCACAAGTAATATAAAAAGTATTGAAAATATATTTAAAGGTTTAATTTAAATTTTTACGTAAATATTGAAACAAAAAGGGAGTAAAATTTATCTATTTGTGGTTAGTGACTAGGATTTTCTTCAGGGTAATAAACAGTGTCTCCTCAATCGACAGGAAATTAATTTTAGCAATTCTTCACGCTTTATATCTATATTTAAGGATTTTGTTGTTGATTTAAGGATACTAACCAGTACGGCAGCCACATAGTTTTTGGGTTGAAGAAAACTCTCACTAAATTAGGAAATATGTTCCATAGAGAAGAAATTCACACATTCTATATAATTTTTGTAGTCTCCACCATAGTATAGTAGTATTAAGTTTGTCATTCAGTTTGTAAAACCTCGAAATATAAATTGTGGACCCCACAGATCAACATATATATATATATTTATGCCGATTTAGCGATGTCCGTTTGTTTGTCTGTCTGCATGTGGAAATCACTCTAGCTTTCGAACAAAATTAAATAGGTTGATCAAATTTTACTCAGATATATTTTACGTCTGCAGGACATTTGTTAGTGAAAATGGGCCAAGTAGGTCCAGGTTTTGGTGTAGTCCCCATATTTTTTTAGCCAAAATGTTAACCCGAATTAATTGTAACTAGGTAGTTTATAGGCAACCTCCTTGCATAGAACTGTCTATATAGGTCCAAGATTTGGTATATTCCCCATATGATTGTACATCCAGATATTCGGTACTGTATGGATTTAGCTACATTTTTCAAGGAATTATCTCAAACTTGGCATTCCAAGTTTGCCTTCTATACATGTCCAAGTTTGTGTGTAGGTCCCATATAACTGTACCTCCAGACATTCGATATTTTGATGATTTGTGTCACACTTTTCACCGCAATTGTTTTAAATTTTGTATTAGCAGTTTGTAATGGTTACTACCTCCTTTGACAGAAACTTGGTCCTATACTGGTCCACATCTTAGTATGGTGTAATATAACGGCATTTGGCAATATTTGCCACACTTTTCTACCAAAATTATTTCAAATTCGGTATTTTGGGTTTTCCCACACAAATCTTCGTCTTCGTGCAGCCCCCATATAACGGTGCCTCCGAATATTCGTTATTGTGATGATTTTATGTATATAACGATATTATGTATACACGATAACTTTCGAAAGGAGTTACAGATAAGGTTCAAACTGTAAACCGTGAAGATGGTAGATATTGGATTATTCCCTCTGGTACCTCCTATACAAAGGGTCAGAATTTGGAAACATTTTAACTCTTATAAAATAATGAAAAATAATGAAATGAAATAGTGAAATAAGAGTTCGATTGTCTTCAAATTACACACATCCCAACATTTCTGTTAACACAAGATCTGGTGTAAAGGTGGTATCAAAATTGTGAATAATTATATCTCTCATAAAATAAGAAATAAGCAACCGATTTATTTTAAATTTCACATATTTCAATATATCTACTAACACAAGATCTGATGTGAAAATGGCAGATATCGGGCTACTCCTTCTGATACCTCCCCCACAACGGGTCAAAATTTTGAATAACCATGAAGCTTATAAAGCAAGAAATGAGCATCCGACTCCATTCAAACGCGGTATATCCCAATAGTTATATCAACACAAGATCTAGTATAAATGAGGAATATATCGGAGCTCTCCATCAAGTATATCCTCCACAAAGGGTCAAAATGTTGAATAATTATAATTCTTATAAAATGTGAAATAAAGGTCCGATTGTCTTCGAAGATAGCACATATCAATATTTTTATCAAGGGAAAATTCCAAACGATGCAAAACTTCAAATGCGAAATTTGAAACAATTCCGGAGAATAAAGTCGCTAATATGTGAGCTATACGAAGAAGTGGACTTGCATAGACAAATTTCCGTCATATGGTATAGTATCCATTACGAACATCAAATACGAAATTCGAAACAATTTCCGTTAATAATGTCCCTAAAATATTCAAAATACTGGATATCGTAAGGTATAGTTATATGGGGGCTATACGAAGACGTGGACCTGCATAGACACTTTTACGTCATAGGTTGATGTACCCATTACGAACTTCAAATACGAAATTTGGAACAATTTCGATGAATAATGACGCTAAACCATACAAATATCGAATACCTGGGGGTACCATTATATGGATGCTATACTAAAACGTGGACGTATGTAGACAATTCTCTTTCGAGGGTAAGAACTCAGAAGGAACCGCTTTTGCTGATTTTCAGACAA